CTTTAAACAATGCTTCCAGACTAGGGTGGCTAGATATAGCCGAAAGCAACTTTGGAGGAGAATTACCGGATTGCATAGGCAATTTTAGCAATCTCTTATATTTAAATATCCTAGGTAATAGAATATTGGGAAGAATTCCAACAGGGATTGAAAATCTCATCAACTTGGAGATACTCGTGGCATCGGCCAATCAATTATCAGGTTCTATTCCCCTTGGCATTGGGAGGCTTCAAAAGCTAAGGAGATTTTTTGCAACTCGCAATTCTCTCTCTGGGGTCATTCCCCCCATTTTCGGAAATTTGACAATGTTAATTAGACTTGCTTTAGGTTATAACAATCTTCATGGCAACATTCCTTCGAGTCTAGGTAAGTGTGAAAATTTGGTTGCCTTGATTCTTTCTAATAACAACCTTAGTGGTTCCATACCCCCTGAGGTAATTGGGCTCTCTTCCTTGTCTATTGTCCTAGACTTGTCTTCAAACTATTTAACTGGTGTGCTACCCGTTGAAGTGGGAAATCTGAAAAATTTAGGAGAATTGCTTGTGTCTCAAAATAGGTTGTCAGGTGTGCTTCCAAACAATTTTGATAGCAATGTAAGACTGGAGAGACTGTTCTTGGATGGCAATTTGTTCCAAGGCCCTATTCCTTCATCTTTGAGTTCATTGAAAGGCCTTTCAGCTCTAGATATATCTAGAAATAATCTTTCCGGTGAGATTCCAGATTTTCTTGTGAGCTTGGGATCATTAAAGTATCTAAATCTTTCCTTCAATGATTTCGTGGGCATGGTACCAATTGAAGGAGTCTTTGAAAATGCAAGCGCTGCATTCGTTGAGGGAAACAGTAAGCTTTGTGGAGGCATCTTCGAGTTACACTTGCCAAAATGTAACTTGAAAGCATCCAATAGAAGATCGAGCAATTCTCTTAAATTAAAAATTGCGATTGTTTTTGCAATTTTAGGAGTGACATTAGTATTCTCTCTTCTCCTCTTTTTGTGGTTTAGAAGTAAAAAAGAGAAGCCAACAGCAGCAACTTGTGCAGAAAATTCACTTTTAAACTTGTCATACCAAATCCTCGTAAAGGCTACTAATGGATTCTCCTCGGCGAATCTAGTTGGTTCAGGTAGCTTTGGTTTTGTATACAAAGGAATTCTTGAAGAGAGTGGAGTAGTTATTGCTGTTAAGGTGCTTAATCTTCTATGTCGTGGAGCTTCTAGAAGTTTCATGGCTGAATGTGAGGCATTAAAGAACATCAGACATCGGAATCTTGTCAAGATCTTAACAGTAGTTTCAGGTGTCGATTATCAAGGGAATGATTTTAAAGCATTAATCTATGAGTTCATGCAAAATGGGAGCTTGGAGAACTGGCTGCATCCATCCGTTGCCATGAATGAGGCAGCAAAAAGGTTAACATTTTTCCAGAGATTGAATGCTGCCGTTGATGTTGGTTGTGCATTGGAGTATCTTCATCATTATTATGAAACACCAATTGTTCATTGCGACCTCAAACCGAGCAATATTCTACTTGATGATGAAATGGTTAGCCACGTGGGTGACTTTGGGCTAGCAAAATTCATTACATCAGGCATGCAAAATAACGCTTCAAGCCCGTCAAGCTCCCTGGGGTTAAGAGGAACAATTGGTTATGCACCACCAGGTGAGTAGACTACTGCACACTTTACTATCATATCTATAGTCTATAATTAAACACCAAATTTGAAGTAGATCCATAGTTTTCTTTCAATATGATAAATGTAGAAGGCATTCTTTCAAAATCAATATGTTATTTAATTTAACATGTTAAGAGCTTTGATGTGAGAAAGTTATTTGCATCTATTTCAAAATTGTTGCTCTTAATTATTTGTGACAAATGAATTGCAGAATACGGATTGGGAAGTGTTGTGACAACATATGGTGATGTGTATAGTTATGGCATTCTTTTGTTGGAGATGTTTACTGGGAAGAAGCCCACTGATGAAATGTTTAAAGAGAATTTGAACCTTCATAACTTTGTTAAAACTGCTTTGCCAAATCAAGTGGCTGAGATTATAGATCCCATTCTTCTTCAACAAAGTTTCCGAGGAGAAAGAACGACCAAGAACTCTCGCAACCAGAGCAACCAAAGAGATAATAGGATCCTTCAATGCTTAAATTCAATATTTGAAATCGGAGTTGCCTGTTCTGTTGATTTGCCTTCTGAACGATTGCATATGAATGACGTTGTAGCAAAGCTTTGTTCTATAAGAGACAAGCTACTTCCAACTCGACCATTAAGAGCAACAGGTACACGAATACTGTTATAAATCCAAGTAGCAATAGCATATAATTCATTATAATTTTTTTTGAAAAAAAAATTGCATCCTTTGCAAATCTTAAACCCATGATATGTCCTTATCTAAGTGCTTTTTTAATTTGAATCCTGATAGTTTTTAAGGTTAAATATTTCCTTCAGCTGCAGTTACTAGGTGATAGTCTATCGGCTTGTGAAGTTCCTGCACTTTTGATTGGTATTGCATTTACAACAAAACTCCCAGTTCACTCCGTCCTCCAAACTGGGAAAAAGAAGAAGATAATTATTACCTCAGCATAAGAAGTAACCACTCCCTTGTCTTCTGAAGGATCAACTCTGGAAGATTGTTGGATTTAGTTGCAAGTTCTAGTGTTTGTGCCTATCGTTTCTTGAATAAAGTACTTTTGCCTTGTGTTTAACTTTCCGCAATTGAAGATTATATATGTAATGTTTTCTGAGGAACCATTCCTTTGTATTCCGAGAAGCCAAATCTGCAAGAACGTTGGATTTCAAGTTCTCATATTGTGTCTACCATTTCAAGAATAAAATTCCACCTCTATTGCTTATTGTTCCTTGAATGAAATTCTTTTTCTTGTGTTGAAAATTCAGGGATTGGGGAGTCTTGGCAGTATCAGCTACGTTAATTCCAGTCTCATCCTGTGTTTCTTGTGTTCCTACTCGTTCAAGTGGAATGACCCTTGGAAATTCAAAAACTTTTGTCCAATAACCTTTCTTCCACAAACTAAGCAATTAAAACTCTTGACCCTGCTGCCAATATCCTCCATGACAGCCAGCTTTGTCTTCAGCGTTTACTTCAAGGTCTAGTTTGCTGGTATCTTAGAATCTCTACCAAACCACAATCTTACCCTAAATAAAGCGGTCCAGTGTGGAAACCGTGTTCAAGCTAACTCAACCTTTCTTCGTCGACTCATGATTCCATTTGTCACTTTTGATTTCTTTATTAATATTGGCTGACAAGTAATCATGAATGGTTTTGATACACAAAATTGACAATATATATAATTCATTATAAACCCATGGCCTGTCCTTGTTTAATTGCTATTTCAATTTGAACCAGCATGATTTAAGGTTAAATGTTTCCTTCAACTACAGGTACTAGGTGATAGTCTATTGGCTTGCGAAGTTGCTGCGTTTTTTATTGGTATTTGCATATACATCAAAGCTCCCTGGTGCAGCTCAGCATAAGAAGTAACCATTCCCTTGTTTTTCTAAAGGATCAACTCTGGAAGAACGTTGAATTTCGTTGCAAGTTCCAGTTGTACTTATCATTTTCTTGAATAAAATATTTTTCTTTGTGTTTAATTTTCTTTGATTGAGGACTATATTATGTTTAAATTTATGTTGTAAATTCAGCTATGTTAATTCTAGAAAAATGAATGATAGGAAGCCTCTAGCTTATAGTCATTTCTCGAGATGACTTTCCTAAAGTGGATTAACAAGCTAGTTGTAACTTTCATGCACATGTGTCTTCCATTTCATGAATAAAATTTCAATTCTAATATTAAATAAAATTTCAAGAATTAAAATAAAAACAGATATATTAAAATAATAATAATAATAATATCTACATTAGATTGAGAGTATTTTAATCAAAGTCACTCCACCTATTCTAAAATTGAACATGTTGATAATAGCATAGGAAAAAATTGTTCTTCAATCTCTCAATCGCCTTCTGTAATTGAACAATGAGTATTCAAAAGCAAATTAAAAGTAAGAAAAGGTGACGTGTTGCCTAGCTAGAAGTACAAGTCATCACGGTGGTTCACCAAAGACGCTGCCAAGTAACAACGTTGCATGAGCCACACGTAGAAGCATTATCTGACAGCAACTTGTCAGGCATCCGTGGGTTTAATACCACCTGGCCGGCCTCGCTGCTTACAACTGTACGTGTCTGGAATTCAAGTCTACTCAGAAACGAGGAAAACCCCTTTTCCAACTATGAAAAGCCGACTGCTTGTTGGTATGTTTGTGGGACTATCTCAAACTAGCTAGAACAAGGTAGAAGGTGAAGTAATAATAATGTCAGGGGGACAGGGAGCATTGCCGAAGAAGGCGAAGACGGTGACGATATATGAATCAGTGGAAGGAGGGGAGAATAAGACCAAGATGGAGCTACGTGCCAGGGAAGACCAGGGTGGCATTCAGGTTGATAAGCTGGAAGAAAAGGTGGAAGATCCTACTGGCGACGCTGGCCCTATCTTTGGCTCTGCCAAAGATGATAACAACAACAACCGAGACTTGGGCGTCACCGGCACAGCCTAGCCAAGCTACCGCTGTGCTATTCGTCTCATCTCTTGTTTAGTTTCCCTTTGCGTTTGTCATCCTTTTTTCTTCTCTACATGTATGATACAAGATGTAATAGGCATACGCCTATGGCATAACACAAATTTTGCACCGGAAGATATGGCAGACATATTCCTATGCTTGAATTCAATAGATGAAATTGGAGTGCACTTGTTGTTTCCCATCATCCTATTAATGGATTTACCAGTGAGATTTTACTTGCTTTACGAATTTCTTTTAAATAAAAAGAAAAGTTTCTTGCCAGTAGATTATATGTAGATTGAAAGCCAAAATTAAACATCTTAGAGAATATCCTAACGGATTATCATTAATTATATAATTAAATTATACGGTTTGCTTCTTTTATAAGTAAAAAGTTAAAAACATATTTGTTCAAAGAAAGTAAATGTGCTAATATATTTGAATGATTAACAATTAACTTTGAAATTTTTTTGTTTAAGATCATAATGAATGAATTTCTTTTATATAAAAATAATTATGTTAGAAGTTAGAACTCTGGTTTCACATTTAGTTATTTGCTCATTTTAATCAATTGCTATGATTTTTCTTTCTACTATATATTTAATTACTCTGTTTTTTACCAACTTTTAAAGAAGTAAAAGTAAATAAAAAGGCATAGTAAAAAGAATATACAGAAGAAAACCTTAACCATATATTTATTTTTAATCCAATACAATATTTAGAATTTAATTATCAAATGCATACATTTTCTGTCACATTTTGAGCATGGAAGTGCATGTCCCACGATTTTATAACTAAGCTGAACACATAAAACGTATACCTAAAAGGAAGATAAGCCTTAATTACTTCTTTGGATTGACAGCGAAATAAGTCTGAATAATAGTGAGACCAAGTCCTACTATGGCACCCAAAAAAGCAAGAAAACTCCAGTTTCTACCAAAATAATTGGAATAATTGAAATAGAACCATATTACCGGAGAGTTGCAGTATCTGTGGATGTTCTCTATAACATCATAGTACATCAACGGATCTGGCACCAAGTCCCTGCCCATTCTACGGAAAAGATTAGCCACTTCTTCATCACTTCCGAAATAATTGTGGAGCACACCTGTAACTCGCAGCTCCTTAACATCTTCTGCTGTGTCAATGAGAGAACTAAGGAAGCATAAGTAAGTGGTGACCCCCAAATCATTCTCAAAATTTCCACACATTTCTAAGGCTACCAAGTTCAAGAACATGGCAGCTGTTGAGTCATCCACCAGGATGCGTGGCATCTTTAAGCTTCCCAGTAAGTTGCAATAGAAGGAAATGTTTTTCAGGCTGTTTGACTCGCTGGGCGTCACATGAATCCCTGTTCCTTTAAGATCCTTGATGCTACGAAATGTCTTCGTATGCTTTTGGTTGTCTCCGCATGACAGAAGCAAACCACCTATCATACTACTGTTGCTCTTCGCTCGGCATCCCGTCAAGAGTTTCTTCCGCAAATGCTCCAAAAGATGAGTGTACTCTTGCTTTCCTTCTTCGTCTGTGTGTCTGCTCTTCCCATCTCGTATATCCGTTATTAGGCTGTAACCTATGAATTCTGTGATTAACTGCTCCCACTTTCGGGGTTCTTTGGCTAAGCTAATCAATATCTTGAGGACTCGGTAGGGAAGTTGGTTTTCTAGCAAGAAAAAATCAAGTGTCATAAATGCGGCAAGGTCTCCGTTAGCGTTCAACTCTATAAACTCGCCTCCTAAAACGTAGTATAGGGCATACAACACTGCACAACCGTCCACGAAGAACATCCAAGCTAGCTCATCATCGTCGTAATCTTTTATGTCCTCCGGATTATAACACTTCCTCAGATCCTTTATCTCTTCCTTAATCTTAATGAATAGAAACTCACCCCTAGTTTTGTTCTTGTCTGCAAAGAGAGCTGCCAATTTAAGCTTGGTGTGCTCTGCCTGCTCGAACTTCGGATTACCATGATGCAAAGGGCCGATGGCTACCTGCCTTGGTTCAAAATATTTCTTAAAATCCTTCTTGACATCGCTCATGAGGGCGGGTGGAACTCTTTGTATTAACGGTTTGGCTCTTTGATATGTACCACTTTCCTCTTCTCTGGCTTCTTGCAAGGCTGACTCCAATTTTGCTCTCTTTTCTCTGATGAAATCCGAATGCTCTATCTCAGGCATTGAAATTCTCACTTCCCACGGCTGCTCCTCGTCGCTGATCATCGAATCCTACCAGCTTGACGGTAAAGCAGGTAATACAATGACAGTTATAGAAAATTTGGAAATAAAAGTAGTGTAATTGAGGAGTTGCCTGAAGAAACAAAGGACGAAGGGATCGAAGAAAAGGTGGGTTAAGTTTCTTTGTTTCTACTTGGCGGAGGCTATTCGGGTACGTTAGCCGCTGAATTTATATGCTTTACACTAACTAGATCGAGATAGTAGCTTCACGAATGATCCTCTTTATACTTTATTGAGCATCAAGTTTAGTATACATTTTATCTGCTTTATCTTTTTGACAGAGTGACTGTTAAGATTTCTTACATGGAACAAGTATCAATCAATGAAACAAAATCATGAACCTTACCGCAATCACCATGTAAAGAGCAGAGGAAATAATCTTATTTGAATTCATATGATTTACTGCCATGCAAAGAAACATTTCAACTCTATCCAGTTCAAATTTTGCAGAAGAATCCGTAAACACAATGTCATCGATCTTTTTCAGAATGCCATCAATTCCATTAAAAATATATGGATCGTTCCATGGCTCGAAGCTGCTCGGTTCGTAACAATGAGAGTGCCATTTTGGGGTCAAGCTCAATAATCAACATTCTTAATTATTTTAAATTTCGCAATAATTTGGATTTTGAATCTCTAATAATCCCAGAAAACAGCCCAATGACATAGCCTAAGTGATCCCCAAAGTGTTTGCTTCTAATTACTTTGATTCTTTCGTTGTTGCATCACTATCTCCTTTTCTTTTTTGCTTGGAATGTAATATTCTCATCATTTTTTTCTTATGGTATGTTTGGTTGGGGAATGGTCTCTATTTTCCCAAAAAAAATTTCTTCATTTGGTTTGCTTTTAAAGAAAAGAATAACTATCCCAAAAGAATGCCTATTCCTTAAAATCTTGGAAAATCTTAGAATAACTAATGCCACGGCTCTCCATGATATTAGCTATTCCACATCTATGGGAATAGAGTATAAAACGTTTGTTATCAAAATATTGTTACTTAATTTCAAAAATTAAAAACCTAGTCTTATAAAATTAATATTTTAAATTAAAAAAATTAAAAATTTAAAACTTAAAATTGTAATATTTTAATAAATAAATAAAATAGTAATGTTTAAATTATTAAGTGAAATATAAATTAAAAAATGAAAATGAAAATAGAGAAAAAATTATACTAATACTTTAATAATAAATTATTAAATTATTAAAATTTTAAATTTTTAATGAAAATAAAAATTAAATGATTAAAAAAGAAAAAATTTACCTAGTTTTTTCTTTTGGTATAAATTTTACTAAATTATATAAAGAGTATTTTTGTTTTTGATGAAAATATATCTTATTATAATAAATAGTTTAAGTTTTTAATTATATATTATAAAACTTAGTATTTTAAATTTAAAAATTAAATAATATTTTAATCATAATAATATTTAAATTATAGATAAATTGATAATATTTAAAATTTTTAATATTTAAATTATTAATTATTAATTTTTTAAATATTATAGAATAAAAATAAATAATCATATATTACAATAAAAGTTATTGTTATCTTTTTATCATCTATTCCATTGTTATTCCAAAATTATTTTTATCAACTAAACATTACAATAAGTTATAAAAATAATTCTTACCTTATTTCATCCTGCGATCAAATCATATAATAATATTTTTATTATATTCTATTCTTACGTAATACTTATTCTATTCTATTTCATTTTATTCCACAAACCAAACATACTCTTAAAATTATATTTTGTTTGCAAACCTATAACGTGATACATGGTATATAAGAATATGCCATGATGCCAACTCTAGCCAATTCATAACTAAACAAAACCAATCAATAAATTATATTAATATTAATTAAATAAAATAGAGAAACTTCATTCAATTTTGTTTCAAATATAAACTATACCTACCATTCCATTTTCATTAAATTAGTTCTCTAAAATCTTTTTTTGAAAATTAGTTCTCTAACTCTTACGTGATTGATAGACAGTGCACCATTATTATTTCCAAGTGAATTAACATTCAAAATTTAACATTTCATGGTTCTATTTGTTCGTACGTTAAAAGAGGTCTAGATGTCTGTAAAATTTTGAACGAAACTTTTTTTTGAAAAAAAAAATTAAGGGCACACAACAAGTGGATATAATTTAGCTATAATTTAAACCATATAGAATTGCCCATAATTTAGCTAAATCCATGGAACTTTACTTAATTACATGAAAAACATTATTGGCTTCCTATTAACACAAAATTCACTATTTAGCCATCATTTTCCCAATTATATATGATTAAATATATTGGGGGTGGGGGGCATAAAGTTTGAATTCCTTAAAACAATGAGTTAAATTAGATATTTAATGCTTAATGAGATGGAATTACAAACTTATATAGATATGAAGATAATAATGAGATAACCAAAATGAGATAAACAAGAGAAAAAAATCCCTAAAAAATTGTTAATTATTTTTTTTGAGGGGATTAATATCGAATTTGTTACTATTTTATGGTTCAATATTAAAATTTTCCATTGTATTTCAATTTTATTGAATTTGTTCATTATTATTTTTATTTTGTCAATGTTTGATAAAAAATAATAAAATGGAGAATCCAACTGGTCAGAGTAAACCCAAAGACAAAGAGACCTATCTTCTTCATTTGCCATGGCCAAGTCTACAAAGGTCCCTTAAAGACTTCCAATTAATCATGGACAATGAAAGTTTTCTTTTTCTTCCTTTTTTTTGTCAAGTTTATTCTTTTTGGAGAGTACATACAAATACTATTTACAATCAGAAAAAATAAATATAATCAAATCAAACAATTTTTTATAAGTATGGAGTTATAAAGAAATTTCATATGAAGGATCTTGTCTTATGTTAAAACCGAAGCCCCTCCATTTTTTTCTTTATTTGACTGGCCTAGCCTAGGAATTTGATTTTCTTGCCAACTAAATCTGACTTTTAGGTGTCAAAGAGACTAGAACCCTATGACCATTTTTCCTCACCTGGGACACGGCAGCATTTATGTCAACAAACTTCTTCTTGTTCGTTAACTTTATAAATTTGGGTAGCCATTGATTAATTTGTACAATGAATCAACCCTATAAATATGTAACAAAGCAATACAGAAAGTCACCAAAAAGAATTGCAGAAAGGCAAGTTTTGATGTGTGCAATGGCGTTCCCTTTTGTTTACTGCCAATTAGCTGGTTTCTACTTTAGCATCCTGTTGTTGCATGCAACAACTTCCGCTGTTGCCACTGCCAATTTTGTGATTAGAACCAATCCTGGAAACGAGACAGATCGTATTGCACTGCTAGCTTTCAAGTCAAAAATTTCACAGGATCCTGACGGAGTGATGAGCTCGTGGAATCTGTCTAAAGATTTCTGCGAGTGGGAAGGAATCACATGCAGTCGCAGGCATAGAAGAGTGACCGTGTTAAACCTGAGGTCAAGAAGATTGGTGGGTTCCCTCTCACCTTACATTGGCAACCTCAGCTTCCTTAGGGAGATCAGGCTGGAAAACAACACCCTCCATGGAGAAATTCCTGAGGAAGTTGGTCGTCTGTTCAGGTTGCGCTTTCTACATCTGGGCAACAACTCCTTGGTTGGCCAAATTCCTGTCAACTTGTCCCATTGTTCCAAGCTCTCATCTTTACTTTTGGGAAGGAACAAGCTCGTAGGGAAATTTCCATTGGAGTTTGCCTCCTTGTCAAATCTCAAAGAACTAGCTATACACTTTAATGATTTGACTGGAGGCATACCACCTTTTCTTGCAAACATTTCCTCTCTAGAAGCTCTATCAGCTTCTTACAATGCTTTTGGAGGGAACATCCCAGATTCATTGGGTCAACTAAGGTACTTAACATCTCTAGGACTCGGTGGAAATAACATCTCTGGTACAATACCTCCTTCCCTATATAATCTTTCTTCTCTTGCTATTTTTTCTTTGTCTGAGAATCGACTTCGTGGAAGCCTTCCTTCAAACTTGGGCCTCACTCTTCCTAATCTTAGATTGTTTCAAATATCTGCCAATTTCTTTAGCGGATCAATTCCTGTCTCGTTATCCAATGCTTCAAAACTTGAATTTATTGAAATGGTTGGGAACAACTTATCTGGGAAATTATCAGTTGATTTTGGTGGCATGCAACAGCTTTCTGAGCTGAATTTAGGTAGAAATGATCTAGGAAGTGGAGAACCTGATGAAATGAGATTTATCGATTCTCTGGCCAATTGCAGCAATTTGCAAAATTTGGATTTATCTGTAAACCGATTTCAAGGCGTATTGCCTCACTCGTTTGGTAATCTCTCCACTCAACTTCTACGTTTGCTTCTTGATTCAAATCAGTTATATGGAACCATCCCTTCAGGGGTAGGTAATTTGGTTAACTTATATTTGTTCGCAATAGGAAGGAACCAGTTTACAGGCAAAATCCCTCCAGAAATTGGGAAACTTCATAACTTACAATGGATGGATCTTCACAGAAACAAACTTTCAGGGGAAATTCCTCCCACCTTAGGAAACCTGTCATCACTGCTAGAGCTGCATCTGCTAAATAACAATCTACAAGGAACCATCCCTACTAGTCTAGGAAAGTTAAGAAACTTGGCAGCATTAGATCTTTCTCGAAATGACTTATGGGGGACTATACCTGAAACACTTTTTCATAAAACACCTCGCATGATCTCACTAAATCTATCTCAAAACCATTTGGTTGGAAAAATACCTGCAAGCATTGCCAATATGAAGAATCTCTTGAGACTGGATGTATCTAGGAACAACTTGTCTGGTGAAATTCCTCTTGAACTCAGTAATTGTGGTAACCTTGAAATTCTATACATGGAGGGAAACTTCTTTCAAGGATCCATTCCTCCGGCACTGAGTTTCTTAAGAGCTATCCAACAGGTGGATCTTGCTCGTAACAACTTATCGGGCCAAATTCCTAAATTCCTGGAATCACTTGCGTTGATATATCTAAACTTATCCTTCAATGATTTTGAGGGTGAGGTACCAGTGAAGGGAGTTTTCACCAATGCAAGTGCAATGTCTGTAGTTGGTAATACAAGACTCTGTGGGGGCATACATGAATTGCAGCTGCCCAAATGCAGCATCAACAATAGTTCCAAGAAACAAAAGGATTCCCTTGCATTTAAGGTAATAATCTCAATATCATGTGCCTTCTTGGGAATAGCCATGGTGGCCTTTCTGATGTTTTGTTGGTTCAAAAGGAGAAGAAACAAACAATCTCCTAGTCCCATGCTGCGTAAAACACTTCTTAAGGTGTCATATGAAAAGCTTCTTAAAGCCACTGATGGATTCTCTTCGACAAACCTAATTGGTCTTGGCAGCTTTGGCTCTGTGTATAAGGGAGTTCTTGATCAGGATGGATTGACTATAGCAGTCAAAGTACTTAACCTTCAGCGTCAAGGAGCCTCCAAGAGTTTCATGGCTGAGTGCAAAGCCTTGACAAATATCCGACATAGAAATCTTGTCAAGATCATAACTTCTTGCTCAAGCGTTGATTTCCAAGGTAATGATTTCAAAGCTCTAGTTTATGAGTTCATGCCTAATGGGAGCATGGAAAACTGGTTGCATCCTGCTTTAGAAGGAGAACAAGTTGAAATTCCTTATCTTGGTCTTCGTCAGAGAATAGAAATTGGGATTGATGTGGCAAATGCGTTAGATTATCTCCATCACCATTGCCAACAGCCAATCCTCCATTGTGATCTAAAGCCAAGCAATATTCTTCTGGACAGCAACATGACTGCTCATGTTGGTGATTTCGGCCTTGTGAAGTTTCTTCAGGAGCACTCAAATCCAACTCAAAGCAGCTCACTCGGAATTCGAGGAACAATTGGATATGCTGCCCCTGGTAATCACAACATACAGACCAAAAGTTTCTCTTAAATATAAGCATACCTTCCACATTTGCAACATCAATACTTCACTTTATTCTAATTCATCATTTTCATGTGAAATTCTGTTAACCGTAGAGTATGGTCTAGGAAGTGAGGTTTCAGTAGATGGAGATGTCTACAGCTATGGAATTCTACTACTTGAGATGATGACAGGGAAAAAGCCAACAGATGAAATGTTTGATGGAGGCCTAAACCTTCATAAATTTGCTAGGATGGCCTTGGCAAACCAGGTGATGGACATTGTCGACCCAACACTGCTAAATAATGGTGGAGAAGTGGCTGCAGAAAACAACAGGCTGAGACAAGCAAATTCTGATAGAATAAAGGAATGTCTAATTTCTGTCATCAGGATTGGAGTGGCATGTTCGATGGAATCACCACAAGAACGTATGGAGATTAGTAATGCTGCTTATGAGTTGCAATTGGTTAAAAACCACTTGTTGGACCTCGGACTAGACCATACATACCAATAGGTAAAGGAGAAAGAATTGTTCAAACTTCAAATTAACCCAATCCTTTGTTTATGTATCTAGTTAGTCTCCTTGTGACTTAATACATTTAGAGTAGAACTTGATTCACCTAAAACTGAAATTTATCATGAGAAATGCTATATAAACTTGTCATATTTTGTTCACATTCCTTACTTATCTGTTATGAATTGCAGGGGGATGATCTCCAAAGCCAGAGGCAGTAAACAACAATATGCATGGATTTTGAACCCTTGCCCTCTATGTGTTTTTTTTTTTACATTTTTTTCTCTTTTTGGTGTATATTTAGTTGTAGATGTAATTCTCTTAAACTGAGGTTTGTCCCTTTCTTTTTTCTCTATACCTCTTCAAGGTTTCAAGTACTTGAAATGGAATAATTCATCTCTTCATTTCACATTACATTGTGGTTTTCTTTTGTTATTATATGGATGTTCTAGTTGATCAATAAAAGAGCTAATGCTAAGTAGGTAATTCTCAACTTTTCTAACAGTTGAAAGACTGAAGGGAACTTTACAAACAACTACTAGTGGTAGCTTCTGACATCAATGGTTTCAGAGATAATATAAAATAGAGGGCCATGCTTAAACAGCAAGATAATTTATTTAATGTTTCCACAAGCATCAGTCAACATCTGCACCTATGCCTTAACAAATTTTTTTATTGGTATGATATGCTAAAGTTCAGCAATTTCGGCTTCTCAACTGTATATAGACTTGATATTAGATTTTTCCTCTCAATCTTTCACATATATGAAGGGAAACCCACCAAGAAAAGGTTTCGGAGGCTGAAAGATTGCTTTTGGGTTTCATTTTTTTTTCTCTTTTTGACTAAATGGAATCTCCTACTTAACCAATATACACCACAGACCAGACATCCTTAAATTGCTGGTGCGAACCACAATATTATGGCCGTTGAGTAACTTCAAAGGTCTAGCAGATACTTCTTTACCAGAGTATTCAGATCCAATTGTCTTTTCTCAAGCTAATTTGAAGAGGTGACTTTTAGTAATAATCAATATATGTTTTAAGGCTGGACATGGCACATAAAGGAGTAAATTAACACTCTTAAATTAAAGTTTTCAATTCTTCTAGACATAAGGTACTATTCTTTCTTTCACCAGAGGACTTTGTCACTTTCCTCAGCGTCAGCAGAATTAGATTTCACACTGATAATTTCCTTATTTTATGTTGTTGTTTGTTGACACCAATAGATTGACAGAAAAGAACCAATTACCTGGCTCCTGACTTTCTGAATTAAGACATGATTGAGCCTACCCCAAGTGGAAGTTTTATTGCTATGTCAGTTTCTGTTTAAAATATACTCATGGGGTAGCCTGCTGCAGTTTTTCTTTCTTCCCTGATCAACACTAAACTAGAGATTAGAAGGCTATGAGTGGAAAACTCAAAAGTTTGGGTACTGCATCTCTTCTTTCTGTTTCACTTAAACAGTGCACCTGCCTTTCTGGGGAATGAAACTGATCAGCTCGCCTTGCTTTCATTCAAGAAAGAAATCACTGAAGATCCCTTGAAAGTTTTGAGTTCATGGAATAGTTCTCTTGATTTCTGCAAATGGCAGGGTGTTACATGCAGTCGCACCCGGCAACGAGTAACTGCACTGGACTTACAATCAAGAAAACTGCAAGGAAAGCTCTCTCCCTCCATGCTCATCTCACGTTCCTCCAAGTCCTTAACCTTGCGGACAACAACTTTCATGGAGAAATCCTACCGCAAATCGGCCGTTTATTAAGATTAAAGTATCTTTACTTGGCAGAAAACTCATTTGGAGGGGAAATTCCAGTCAGCCTCGGCAATTATTCAGAACTCAGAGTCATCCATTTAAATTTCAAAAAGCTCACAGGAAGAATTCCAGAGGAGCTCAGCACTTTGCCTAAGGTTATTGCTTTGCATATTGCTGCTAATAATTTAACAGGAGGCATAACACCATTTCTAGGCAACCTTTCTACACTCTTAAATCTTTCTCTAGCTCGAAATAATCTTGGTGGAAGCATTCCCGATGACGTCGGACGGCTTGCAAGTTTGAACTTTCTTCAGGCTGGTTCGAATAATCTCTCTGGTATCATCCCTGCCTCAATTTTCAACCTCTCAGGGATCAGTATTTTTGCAGCAGCAGATAACAAACTGACAGGGAGCTTTCCGCAAAGTTCGGGTACTAATTTTCCAATCTTCAAATATTTGCTGTTGGAGTAAATCGATTTACAGGACCAATTCCACCTACACTATCCAATGCAACAGGTCTTCTACAGATTGATTTCCCAGATAACTATTTTGTTGGGAGAATGCCTACTGATCTAGGGAGCGTTAAGAACCTGCAAAGGCTAAATGTTGGGCGCAACAGACTTGGAAGCAGAGAGCCTGATGATTTGAGTTTCCTGAATTCATTGATCAACTGTAGCAAATTACAGCTGTTGGGTATAGATAGTAACAATTTTGGTGGAGTGTTGCGAAACTTTATAGGTAATTTTTCTGCTGAACTTAAATCACTGCTAACAGGAAACAATCAAATATATGGAAGCATTCATTCAGGAATTGAAAACCTTGTCAACTTGAATGGTTTGTACATTGACCAGAACATGATTAGTGGTGGAATCCCCATTGAAATCGGGAAACGTTCTAGTCTGAGAGAACTGTAAATGAATGGACATAGACTATCTAGGAATATCCCACACTCCATTGGCAACATGACTGAACTGTTTGAACTTCGATTGGATGGAAACAACCTGGAAGGAATAATTCCTTCGATTCTTGGGAACTGTGTGCATTTGCAAGTGCTAAACCTTTCCCAGAATAACCTGAAGGGTACCATTCCAAAAGAAGTTATAGGTCTTTCCTCTCTATCCAAATCTGTAAACTTTGCTAGAAACTCATTGAGTGGCGCCTTACCACCTGAGGTGGGAAACCTGAAAAATCTCAAAGACTTTGATGTGTCAGAGAACAGATTGTCTGGTAATATTCCCAGCACACTTGGCAATTGCCTAAGCTTGGAGCATCTTTTTATGGAGGGCAACTTGTTTGGAGGAACAATTCCTGGAAGTTTGAGTTCTTTGAAAGGTCTTCAAGACCTTGATCTTTCAAGAAATAACTTGTCTGGACAGATTCCAGAGTTCCTACAAGGATTTATCTTTCTGCAATACTTGAATCTGTCTTTCAACAATTTTGAAGGTGAAGTACCAAGACAAGGAGTCTCAACAAATATTAGTTCTAGTTCTCTTTTCGGAAATAGTAAGCTCTGTGGGGGAATCTTTTCTCTGCAGCTACCCCGTTGCCCAAAGCAGAAGTCAGGAAAAGAAGGAAAATCTTTCACTCTTAAACTCGCAATAATTACAGTTAGTGCTGTTTTATGTTTTGCTCTACTATCATTCATTCTGACTCTTTATTTAATAAAAATTTCAAGAAAGAAACCTTCTCCTATGTCTCCCTCGGATGATTGGCATTCAGACATTACCTACAAGGACCTGCACAAAGCCACTGATGGGTTTTCCCCGGTAAATTGGATAGGTGTTGGTAGCTTTGGCGCTGTGTTCAAAGGGATGCTCAACAATGGTAGAACTATTGCAGTCAAGGTACTCAGCCTTCAGCAGAAGGGAGCAATCAAGGTCTACATTGCTGAATGTGAAGGTTTGAGGACAATTCAACATTGAAATCTTGTCAAGATCTTAAGTTCTTGCTCGAGTGTGGATTTTAGAGGCAACCATTTTAGAGCTGTAGTTCTCCAGTTCATGCCACATGGGAGTCTAGAGAACTGGCTGCACTTGAAAATAAATGAGCATCATCGACAACTGAAGCTGAATAGTTTCTAGAGATTAAATATTGCCATAGATGCGGCATCTGCGCTGGAATATCTACATCACCACTGCCACACTCCAATCATCCCCTGTGAGTCTGTGACTTAAAACCAAGTAATGTTGTTCTTGACGCTGATTTTTGTGCACATGTAAGTGATTTTGGTCTAGCAAAGTTCCTTACACAATGCACAGATACGTACTCTCAAAACCAAACCAGTTCAATCGGTGTACGAGGATCCATTGGTTACATTGCTAATCTCAGGACCCAGGAACTCAAACTGCATGCATTTTATCTTGAATTCTATCATTTTCAGAGCTTTGTGATCAAAGTCACTTGATCATAGAACAATCGTCTAATTATCCATTGATAGCATTTTACAAACAAAAAGCCAAAACAAATCAAATGGAAGGGACAAAACCAGGCTTGCTTTAGGTTAGAAGAAGGTGATTCAATCATGGGGTTGTCATTTTTTCCAAGACATTTTGTCCCAAAGGAAAAGGTGATACTCCCAATGTTCTTATGGCTTATGGGCCATCAGTCATCAAGTTCTGGACCAATATATATTCATAGATTGATATCATAAATTGTTATGGAAAATGTTAATTAATGCTTGTAGATCTTTTTCACAAAAATAATTATTTTTGTGAAAGAAAATTGAAATTAAAATATTATTTGTTTTTGAAATTGATAATAATATATTAAAATGAAAATATATGATTTAAGATAATACTTAATGAATTTCTTTTAATTTATAATTATCCGTTAACATATTCATAATTTAACTATTTAACTATTTAATTATAATTTAATTATTATTACTCTCACTTGTGACAGTAAAAGTAATTGAAAATATAAATAAATTAAAGACTAAAACTCTAAACATGAACTATATTAAATTAAATGAAAATAAAATTCCCAATGTTAAAATTCTTTAAAAAAATAAAAGGAATATATCATAAAGTTCATTCCATAAAAAATAAGTAGATATAATAAAATAATAATTTTAAAAAATATATTTATCAAAAGCAATTAAAACAAAAGAAATCTACAAGAGGACACATCACACAGAGCCAAACTACCTCTGTCTGTCTGTCTGTCTGAACTCTTCGAAGCCTCCGACGATTCAAATCAAAGCTATGGCAAGCATATGGCGGGCCGCGACGGCGCTAACGGAGAAACAGAACGACTACGACGGCGTCGAATTCTGGTCGAATCCGGAACGAACGGGCTGGTTGACGAAACAAGGGGAGTACATAAAGACCTGGCGTCGCCGCTGGTTCGTTTTGAAACAAGGGAAGCTGTTCTGGTTCAAGGAATCGACTATCACACGCGGTTCTCGTCCACGTGGCGTGATCCCCGTGGCTTCCTGTTTAACCGTGAAGGGAGCCGAAGATATTCTGAACAAGCAGTACGCTTTCGAGCTCTCGACGAGGAACGCGACGATGTATTTCATTGCGGATTCGGAGAAAGAGAAGGAAGATTGGATCAACTCGATCGGACGGTCCATAGTGCAGCACTCTAGATCGGTCACCGATTCCGAGATCGTTGATTATGATAGCAAGCGGTGATGATCTTACTGTCTGATCCATTTTTTCCTTTTTCTAAATTGAAATTTGTGTAATTGAGCTCGTATTGTAATCTGTTGTTTGTAAATTTGCTTTCTTTTTTTTATAAAGTTTGTGCTTTTCTGAGTTAAAATACTCTCCATATGTTTGGTAATGATCAGACTGTTAATCGTGCTTTTTTGCTTTATAAAGTTAAATTTTTGTTCACTGAAGTGATAATTAATCTGATTGTTGTTGTGATTTGTTGGTTGATTTGGGTTTTCGCTGTTAGTTAAGGATGATTGATTTTCTTGATTCTTGGATTAGATTGAAAGAGAATTCCTTTAACTGTTTTACAGATAAATGCAGTTTAGATTAGTTCCCGCCACACAAAATGGCATACTGGATTGTGCCAATGAAGATGCTGATAGTTCAAAAGTAATATCAATGGCGATATTTGGTCTAAATTCTCGATGTGAGGTTGCTTGTTGCAGTTTGTTGGTGAATGCAACTGGTTTTCTAGACTCCCCTGTCACTTTTCCTTCAAGATTACAGCTTTGAAATGACTGTTAGATTTTGCTTAAGTAGACCACTCTCTGATGTATTGGGGAGATTCTGATGGTGGATTTTCTATAGGGATAAGGAGATTTTGAAACTAGTTTATATAAAAGGTTTTGTATTCACGATTATGACGTAGTCAACTCTCGGTGTTGTTCCAATTAGGTTGGTGATGGAGGAGCAAACATTAGCTCTAGGATTTTACTATATGTTTTGTAATTGACAGCTGCTTTCGGAGTTTATTTATAAGAAATTTGTCTTGTAGCAGAGGAGTAAGTAAGCCTGCTATATTGAGTTAGCAAGTAGTTCATGTAATATTGGTACAATGATGATTAGCAAGTAGTTCATGTAATATTGGTACAATGATGACCAAAGAGCGAGAACACGTCCTTGTTTATTGGAGCCTAGGACGGGGCAGGCATACAATAGTTCCAGGACCTCTGCATATCTTCTTGTTATCTCTAATGAGAAATGGTATCGATAAGAAGACATTTCCAATGACTGTACTTATTGAAACAGAGAAAAAATTTTGCAATGAAGCTTTTCCGAACATTGTTTGTGAGCACAAGCTACAAGTGAGATCAAGCTGATTGAATGTCTTAAACATGTATAGCCTACAGGATGTTTTTGACTGTTGTTGTGGGGGAAAATGTTTAATGATTATCAGGTGTTGCCTCAAGCTTAGACATGAGCCAAGCATTTACATTTGCATGAGAGTTTAGAAGTTGTTTCCAATTTATAGCAATTGATGGCATGAAACAAATCTTTGATGCAGTGAGATAGATGGAGACCATTAAGTTGATTTTGATGAGCTTCCAGTTTTATCTCTCGTTCCTTGAATATTGCTTCCACATATCGCTGTTGTGTAAGATTGCCATTTCTGGAATATTTCTTCCCAGCCTAAGCTGCTATATTAAAAAAAGGTCAGGTTTACTGCTCTGTCCATGTTTGTAGAAGAAATTAGATCTTCACTCATCGAGGACTGTCTGTAAAATCATGTTCTACCCTCAAACAGTGTTTGCTGACTTGGGTTTTGCTAAGATATGAAATTCAGACCATAACCATATCTAACTTTGCCAATTCTTCCTAAAGTTCTACAGACAATCCAGTTCATATGAAAAGAAAGCTTAAATATCAGTTATTGGTACAAAACAAAGACGATTAAACATCGAGAAAACATAATTTCAATTCACCTGCTGATTTGGCCTACATTTGTCCCGTACTGTGGATCAACGTTGCCTTGGTTGCTTCTAGCTCTGTGATAGCGTCTTTGATTCTCATTCTTTCAGCAGGTACTTCTGCGGAGCATGCGACTCCGATCTTGGTGAAAGAAACCAAACACTCCAATATCTTTGCTTCCTGTTGACTACTTATTCTCTCCATGTCTTCACCCATTTGTTCAAGCAAGCGAAAATCAAGAATCTCCTTGAACTGTTCCAGTAGTGCCGTCTTACAGAAACTGTGAAGGCTTAAGCCGTTGTGAAACATGCCATCTGTTGGTCTCCTTCCGGTGATCATCTCCAGGAGCAAAATCCCATAGCTGTAAATATCTCCTTCTGGAGACGCTACCCCTCCCATGCCATATTCTGCAAAATGTTATAATAAGCCAAATCACTTCAAAATTGACAAAACAAGGAACAAAAAATAATAAGGCAAGAACAGATGAAACTTACCTGGGGCGACATAACCTATTGTTCCCTTGATCGATGAGGAATTTGTATGACACGTTTCCATATTGCGTGAGTGGCTAGATACAAGCCTAGACAATCCAAAATCACTGACATGTGCGACCATTTCATCATCGAGAAGAACATTGGTAGGCTTTAGATCACAGTGAACAATCATCGTTTCACAATCATGATGAAGGTAATTTAAAAACACGGTAGTCCAGGAAAACTTATCTTTGGCTGAAGGACATGTAGGCTCCAGCTGCAGGGAGAAGACTTCCTTGACCAAAAGGGCACTAATTATACTATTAAATTAAATTTGTGACAGCTTCTAATCTATGAATGTTACTATAAGGTTTTTTTTTTTAGTTTTTCACAAAACAAATTAAGGGTTTTTTATATATGTATCTAATTGAATTTTTTTGATTTTTTTTTAAAATTGTGCTCTTATCTCTTACCAGAAATGTAACAGATATTATCCTGTAACAGTTATCACTTGTGGTATACATGAAACTTGACGGCAGACTTATTGACTAAACACAATAAATGCTGATGTCGAATTTTTGTTATTTAAGCCTAAGAGTTATCCCAAACTTTAGGTGGAATCTACTTTATAGAAATTTAAATTGTTCATATTATCAATAGATTATACTTAATAAATCACGCCAGCAGAAAAATTTCTCCACAGTCCTGTCTAATTTTTCAAAGTAAATTGACAAAGAGAAAGGTTACTTTAATCAAGTTAGGAAGATATATACTAATTTGATGTAATATAATTGCTGAATCTAGGATCTTTGATCATCTCAAATATAATTGAATTATCAGAAAGATGGGAACGAAATCATGTATTTCATTACGGATTTGGAACAAGAGAAGGAAGATTGGATCGACTCGATCGGACGGTCCATAGTGCAGCACTCTAGATCGGTCACCGATTCCGAGATCATTGATTATGATAGCAAGTGGTGATGACCCTACAGTCAGATCCATTTTTTTTTGCTCTTTCGAACTTGAAATTTGTGTAATTGAGCACATATTGTAATCTGTTGTTTGTAAATTGCTTTCTTTCTTATATGAAGTTTGTGCTTTTCTGAATTGAATTACTCTCCATATGTTTGATAATGATCAGACTGTTAATCGTGCTTTTTTGCTCTATAAAGTTAAATTATTGGTTCACTGAAGTGATAATTAATCTAATTTTTGTTGTGAATTTGTTGGTTGATTTGGGTTTTCGCTGCTAGTTAAGGATTATTGGTTTTCTTGATTCTTGGATAAGATTGAAAGAGAATGCCTTTAGACTGTTTTGACAGATAAATGCAGTTTAGGTTAGTTCCCGCCACACAAAATGGCATACCGGATTGTTGCCAATGAAGATGCTCCTAGTTCAAAAGTAATGTCAATGGCGATGTTTGATCTAAATTCTTGATGCCAGGTTGCTTGTTGCAATTTGTTGGTGAAATATGCAACTGGTTTTCTAGACTCCTCTGTCACTTTTCCTTCAAGATTACAGCTTTGAAACGACAGCTAGATTTTGCTTGAGTAGATCACTCTCTGATGTTTTGGGGAGAATCTGATGGTGGATTTTGTATAGGGATAAGTCTGTTTCGGAACTCGTTTCTATGAAAGGTTGTGTACTTAGTCAATTTTTACTCTGCGTTGTTCCAATTAAGTTGGTATCGGAGGAGCAAATGATAGCAATAGGATGCCACTATATGAAATTTTGTAGCTGAAAGCTGCTGTAGGAGTTTCCTTACAAGAAAATTTTCTTGCATCAGAGGATCAGGTAAGCCTGCTAAATAGAGTTAGTTAGTAGTTCATGCAATATATGTACCTGAGAAGAGTTTCTGCTAATGAAGCTTTTCCGACCATTGTTTAGGAGCACAAGCTACAAGTGAGATCAATTTGATTAAATGTCTCAAACATTTACTGCCTGCAGATGTTCTTGGCTGTGGTTGTGGGGAAAATGTTTAGCTATATTCAAAAAGGTCAAGATGATTGTTTTTCCATGTTTTAGAAGAAATTATTTCTATACTTAATCCAGGATTGCCTATAAAGTTGATTGTTTTTCCATTTTTAAGAAGAAATTATTTCTGTTCTTACCAAGGCTTGTCTATACAATAAGGTTCTGCCCACAGACAGTATCTGTTGATGTGTGTCTTGTTTAAGATATAAAATCGGACATTAGTATAGTTAATTTATAGCATGTTGCACTAAAGTAAGGATCAGGCGCGATAGATTAGCTGTTATCTCTAGTCCTTCTTAACACATTCTGTTGGTGTGAAGTATGTTGAGTGATGAAATAGAATGGATTCTGTTGATTTGTCTCCCAAAGCAAGTGGTTACAGGTTGGCTGATTCATTTCTACTTACTAAGCTTCGATTCATCATGTTGGAAAAAGCTTGGAATTGATTATCTCTCATTCTGTAATTAAGCCAATGGAAAATTTCTACTTTGGAATCGAACAAGGATAAAAGGAGATAAATATAAATATGAATTTCACACCATAATTTTAAATATCACTTTCCACAGCCAAGTCTTTTGAAATCTCCGTAGACAATCCTAGTTTAAACGATTTGAACAAACGCAAAACAAAGTTCAAATATCCATTATTGATACAAAACATTGAGTAGAAGTTTACTTCCGATTCACCAGCTGCTGCTGCCTATCTCCTGTCCTTTCCATGGATCCCAGTGCGAACCAACCCTGCCTTGATTGCAAGTAGTTGTGTAATAGCATCTTTGATTCCCATTCTTTCACCAGGTGCTTCTGCAGAGCATGCAACTCCTATTTTGGTGAAAGAAAACAAACTCTCCAACATCCCTCCCTCCATGTTTGGCAGATTCGTTAATCTCTCCTTGTTTTCACTAACTTGTTCAAGCAAGCGAAAATCGAGAATCTCTTTCAACTGATCAGGTAGTGCCATTTTACAGAAATTGTGAAGGCTTAAGCCGCCATGAAACATACCATCTGTTGGCCTCCTTCCAGTGATCATCTCCAAGAGTAGAATCCCATAGCTATACATATCACCTTCTGGAGACACCGCCCCGCCCATGCCATATTCTGCAACAATTTGTTATAAACTTAATTCTTCTTGTAATGCCAACCATCTGTTTTTAGCTCTAATTAAGAGTTGAGACTTGATATTTTGCAACTTATTCAATGCGAGGTTTAATGATGGTTAATAGATAACAATCATAACATTATAAATAATAAAATCATTAAGATTTTGTATATTAAGATTTCATTAGATTACGACTATGATATTGAAAGACAAAGGGAGATATATAATTTTACCTGGAGGAACATAACCAATTGTTCCTTTCATCATTGAAGAACCTGTTTGATCATTACCCATATTGTCTGTGTCGCTAGATAGAAGCTTAGCCAATCCAAAATCACTGACATGTGCAACCATGTCATCATCAAGAAGAACATTGGAAGGCTTTAGATCACAGTGGACAATTACCGCCTCACAATTGTGATGAAGGTAATCTATTGCATTGGCTACATCTATGGCTATGTCTAACCTTTGAACAAAGTTCAAATACCTTGACTCATGTTGCTTATGAAGCCAACTGTCCAAACTACCATTAGGGATGAATTCAAAAACTAAAGCCTTGAAATCATTGCCTTGGTAATCAATGCTTGAGCAGGAAGTT